TCCCATATCGGCTTCTTCTTCTTGCCCTCGCTCGGCTCTTTCCAAAGACTTAGCCGTTTCAGCAGTATTTTGCTCATTCTCGGTTGCAGTCTTAAAGAAGAACTCCAACTCTGGAATACCAAGCTCCTCAGCCGAGAAATTAACTTCCTCGAAAGCCTCCTGCTCGGCTTTGCTTTTAGCGATCTTCTGCGCCATATTCTCGCTAATGATAGCAGGGAAGTCGTAGCCCTGTTTTCGGACAATAGTAAGTGCCCTCTGAGCACTAATCCATTGAGCCGCGGTCGAGATGAGCTCTTCAGCCTTCTCCTTGCGAGCCAGAGATTCCTTGACCTTGCCAACTAAATTGGCATAGTGGTCGTTCACTTTGGCAGCCGCACACTTCGCCATCTCCTAGCCAAAGACTATCTTTTCCTGTTCGGTCATTATATTTTTGGCATCAAGCTTGTTCTCAGTAACAGCCCTCTCTTTTATGATCTGCTTCACAGCCTGGCCAAGGAGCCTGTTCTTTTCAGCGGCATCGGCACGAGCCTTCGCCAGGTTCTCTGAAGATTCCTCGATTTTTCTTTCAAGTTCGGCGTTCTTGTTTTCAACCTTGGTGTTCTTTTGCTTCTCGGCCTCGAGAGCTTCTTTAATGGCTTCCCTCTTGGCTTAGTCGGTCAGACACCTCTTGGCATCACAATCGTACTCGCACATCACAGTTAGTGCGGTACTAAGGGCCTGCATAGCAAAAGGTGCATCGTCAGAACCAATCGGGTATGCATAGAAATGAAGAAGTGTTTGTGATATTTTACCTTAGCCTGATTGGCTGCAAAGCGCGCAATCGCTTCACTTCGAATTAGACTTCGAGGATCGGTTGGCGGTAGAGCTGGGTGATCCCTTAACCGAAGAAAGAAATCCTAGCAAGATACGGGATCACTCACCAATGGGCCATTTCTCCGAGCGAAGCTCCTGTTCAATGCGAGGCCATTTTGACCTCTGCGAGTCCTCGGGAATTTCTTCTGAGCTCCTTTTATTCGAACCGGCAGGGACACCATCCCCGCTGGCTTCGCCCTCTCTGACCAATTCATCCCTGCGCCCTTCCAGCTCGGCTTTCTTCTGAGTTCTCTCTGCCTTTTTGAAGCCTTTTTATCAGCCGCCTTCTTTGCCTTAGCCATTTTGTCAGCCTTTCTCTTGGCCTTAGCCGAATCACTCTCAACGTGATCTTTTGATGCGTCGGGTGTCTCACGTTTGTCCAATGATGCTCCTGACATAGGTATTTCAGACTCTTGGACGTGAGGCGACCCGAGGGCAGATTCCAGGTTGGCTGTAAAGTCTTTGAAAATACGTGATTTCATCTTGTCGGCTTGGTTCTGATGACATTTCAGAGCAGCTGGGTAAAACCGGACGAAAGTCACAAAACCCGCACACCGAACAAAAAACAAATTCGAAGAAAGGAATCTAACCTCTTGTTCTTGCAAATTTCTCCTTCGTGATCTCTGGCCACGTGATTGCGCTAATAGTCAAAAACCGCTCGGAAATGTCGTAGATGTCGAGAGGATCATCGACAATTTGGAGAGGCCTTTTTCATGCAAGGACGAAGTTAGTGATTATAAACAGAGATTTTATCTGCGAATTAGACTTCAGGTTGGGCGAATATCCACACATAACCTCCGCCCATTTCGTTCTAATCGACACGTCTCGGTCCACGACTGAAAACTCGTTGATCAGGACGAAGAAATATCGATCCCCCCAGTCGGGTATTTTTGTCTTCTGGCCACCGGTGACGATGTTAAACTTCGTCTTCATACTGGTGTAGTACGATCCTCAATTCCGCTGTTTCTCTTTCGTCCTTCAGGTATTAGTCATCGAATCAAATGCAGCTCGGCTCAACGGGTTGCCGTGCTTGGTAGACATTACCAGCATGCTTACTACCAGATGAATCATGGTGTGAGAAAATTGGGAGATCAGCATCTCCTTGTGATCGGTAAACTCCAGCAGAAGTAGTGGAAGAGAAAACCATAAATGAAATTCCTTGAAGAAGCATTCGTATACGCAGAACCATCCTCGCGGCGCGTCCCATGGCCGCTCTGATGGGCTCGGAACCATGAAGATCACTTCGGGGCCGATGTCGCATTCTTCCTTCAGTGTAACTAAAGATTCCATGGTTGATTTAGTCGACATCACTCCAAGAGCATTATCGCAGATCGGCTTCTCGATTGGCTCGCCCCTTTTCCTCTTCTTGACCGGAGGGTTTATGTCAACAATTCCGAATTGATTCACTCCATCTTCCACGATAAGCGTATTCAATTCATCTGAGATATCCATCTCATTTGAACCCCCTCTCTCGTCTGACTCATCTCGTAACTCAAGAATCAGTAATGGTTCCTTTGTTGATGCCTGTCCACCCATCAGAACAGCCCCGACTTAGTCGACGTGAAAATGCTCAGTCGCCACCCTCTGGTTTTCTTCTCTGACCCGTTCCTGGTAGGCCCGATCTAGTGCGGATAAATCGCTCGCGTCCGAAGATCAATCTGAACCTGACTCTTCGACGACGACCTGCTTGCCCTTTGATCGACCTCTTACGCCAATCTCATCAGCTCTCGCTTGTGCTGATCTGTCTTTTCCTGATTCGGATCGGCCCTCTCTGATGCTCAAACTTTTACCCATCGTAAATTGAAGCTTTGACGGTAGCCTCAAATAGATCGGAGAAATCACGACGGCGGAGATTGAACGAAACGCAGCGGAGGTCTAATCGAAAATTTTAAAAAAATGAAGAACAAAAAGAGATAAAAGAGAGCAAACATTTTGACAGAGTTTCGCTGAAATGCATAAGTGGAAACTTATGAGCCGAACCCCACTTATTTATACAGAAATGGGTTCGGTTATCGAGAGTCATCATGAATTCGGCGATCTTTTGCATTTCTTCTCATTTTATTTAAATCAGTCTCTTCGCTTTCCTCATCTAGTGTTTGACATGTGTCAAGCTTAGTTTAGCATGCGTAGACCTATACCTACTCTACATTGCTTTTGGCCGCATTTCTTCTCATTTTATTTAAATCGGCCTCTTCGCTTTCCTCATCTAGTGTTTGACATGTGTCAAGCCTAGTTTTGCAAGCGCAGACCTAGACCTACTCTACATTGCTTTTGGCGGAAACGTCAGGGGAGAGTTTTTCGCACCCAAATTCACCATCTGACCCTCGTCATCGTGCCGATCTGAACTCGAGGTAAAATTACGTTTTATATTCTGACTTCTTCAGCGACCGACCGATTTTCATACCGAGCAACATCTCTTAAAATTTGCCAAGTAGCGTATCCTCACTTGCCGAACTGGGGGAGGGGGGGGGGGGGGGGGGACTTACTGTTAGAGATGAGTTTCGTACCATCTCTAAAAGCCCATATAAACTCTAGTCTGCCCATTTTGGAAACCTAAAAAAAATTCAGGTCGGTCAAATAAATGGAAACCCTCCATCTATTGGTCTAAATCCTAGAAAAGACGGAAGATTGGCCTTATCGGCAAAGGCAATTTTCCTATTTCAGATTCACATAGTTATCTTCAAGAGACCGACCTGATCGGCTATAAATAGAAAAAGTCTTCGACTTTTCAAGGCATCCAAAAAATCCTCTCTCGAGACCAAGGAAAAACTAAGCGATCCTATTGTTCTAGCTTTCACTCTTATTTCCATAAAAACTTAGGTCGGCGTTCTTATTCCGACGACCTAAACCACCGTGTATCTCTCGAACTCTGGTTTTAATCTACTAAAGATCCCTCTTTACACCCATAAATTCCTGTTCGTTCTTAGGTCGGATTTGAGTTACAGTTGCCACGAATTTCCCGTTATTTACATAAAATTCGTAGATTTTCTGACAAAAGTTTGTGTCGAAAATATGATTTCATATATATAGTTATAAAAAAATCTCATTTTTCAAAATTTCTACCAAAAAATTGAATACTTAAACTTTGTATTAAAATTTTAACATCAAATCTTATTTATAGATTAAATAATATCATATCACAAATCATATGTATTAAAATATAACATATCACAATTACATCATTATTACACGTTATCGTTTCTACGTCATATTTAAAGTGTTTAAACTAAACATACTAACTAATAAAATTAAAACAAATCATGATTTTCCATTAAATTATATTCTTAACTAATATATAGAGAATATATAAGGCCCATGCTCATTTGTATACAATCAAAAAGAAAACAATTAATTACAAACGTTGGAAATTAATTTAGATTCAAATCTCAATATACTACTAAAATTGGTGGTTATCAATCGTTATAGTGATCAAAGTCTTAAAACTCTAACAAAATCTAGTTTCTAATTAATTAATTAAAGCGTAATTAACTTTTAATGGTAACCCTAATCAGGTACTTATAACTTATAAGTACTGAATATATAATATATAATAGACTTAAATATGTCGGTGGATTTGTATGCATGCATGCACGCACGCACGTGTGAGTATATATGTTTGTACCCCTTAAAATAATGAGAAGCCTAAAAAAGAAAGGGCAAGAAAAGTTAAGAAAGACAACAAGCGAGAGGCCACATAACAAAGAGCTTCGAAAGCAACATAAGATGATTATAGTTGGTGAAAAAACAAAACATACAAATCCTATGTAGGGCCGGACAAAAAGAACAAATAAAAATAGACCGAAGTTGTTGAATCAACATTAACATCTGTTTAACTCACAATTTTTTTTTATTTAAAAGACTAATACAATCGCTAAATCAAATAAACGTCGTGGAAATCATTTCATTTATGTATTATATGAATATGTGAAGTTTTTGAGCATGTGTGATGCAAGAAACTTTAATGAGATTCTTAGTTAATATTTAATTATAATTTTCTTTTTAAAAATCTTTGTTAAAATAATTTTATTTTCTATGTTCTAATGGTTGAATTTTATTAGAGGTTCTTTCATTCTTTCATGAACCAGGATTCATCACAATTATCAATACAAATGTTCAAGATGCAAAACATATGAAACATGACTAATTACTTACCACGCAACAGCCATCCAACTTGCAGGAGACATATCGACACTCCTTAAGGTCATGAGTCCCGGATACTTCTCCGCCAAATCGTTTACCTGAAGAAGAATCAAGAGCAATACCAATACCACAGCTTCAAAACCAAAGTTCATTACAACAGAAAGGAGTGTGTGTGTGTGTGTGGTTACTAAGAAATGTGGAGAGAAAGAGAACCTTGTCCGTTAAGGGAACCCGCTTGTGTGGAGGTTCCCTTTCGATGTACTTAAAGTCAAGATAACCAAGTCTATCGCGCGGCAATAGCGTACCATCCGGATCAAAAACCGAATCTTCAGAGTCAGCATCCCATGTTTTGCTCGAATCATTGTTCATTGACCTTGACAGAAACTTCTCGCTCTCACTATCACTCCAAAACTCGCTACTTTCAGATTCAACCACCTCGTTCAGGTTCCTGCAATACCAAAATCAAGAAACCACAAAACATCTAAAGTTCCATTGCCAATGAATTTAGAGAGACTCATCACAAGAAACTAAAAATGTTTTTAGAGTCAAGATGGGATAAGTAACCTGGAAATCGCAGCCGGTTTGTTGGTGTGGATTTGGATGGCAGATAGATACGGGGCATAGTACTGCATAACGGTTTCGCCATTGTATAAATCAACCTGTGATCTGAAGCCATACGCGCTCAGTTCATCGTAACAGTCCCAGAGATCACCAAGCTTGAAATACTCTATCTCCTCTTTCCCCTGTTGCTGCACAAACACTAAGATTACTCATACAGCTCTCTGCTAACCATTGTTTAAATCCAATGCTGCTGATAATGTTAACGTCATTAACTTCTAAATTACCCCAATGTAACTGTGATTTAGCTGTTAAGATTATTTCAAGCAGCTCAGCAACAGCATCATCTTAAGTTTCAAGACCAATATGTTCTGTATTCACCAGTTTTGTACAAAACCATGGATTAATATGTAACAGAACTATGGATTAACATGTATTGAGCAATAAAGCTCCTAAACAACAATCACAGACATATATACCAAGATTACTGAATAAGACAGACCTCTAATGACACAGATCCAGAGGATACCCAGCATCAAGAAGATTCACCAGATTGGATTTGATCAGTTGTAACGTTTGTAATCCATGGTTCAGGACGAGCTTCAAAGTTAGCCCGATGCAACAGAATGATGATCATGCAAACAGCAAACAAAATCGATATTCTCATTCGATTTTCATTTTCACTTTGATGTGAATCGTGCCTCCGCCAAACTCGCTACCGGACTTGTTGTGAAACTCCAGCCAAGCCCTGTTCTCATAGAAACAACTAACAAGCAACTTTCCACTTGACGGTATTGTTCCCTTCAAGTGCAGCATTTTTCCGCTTCTCATATAGTTAATCGGAGAGATTGTGATGAACAGCGGCCGAAATCGCAGAAAGATTAGAGGGAGAGAAAGAGAAGAGATCGATTCAAAGCAGATTCCATTGAATTCATCCTCCTTCTTATTATTTGAGAAGTAACAATAGTGAAAAATACTGATTTGTCACTTTCACACCAAAAGTTAATGCAAATAATTGATGACATGTAAATATGACATGGATTATTTCTAATTAAATATGGAATTTTTTGACAACTGATCATTAAAAAAAAACAAACACACCAATACAATGAAAATTAGGTTTTGCCTCATCTCAAGGCAGCGATGATATACCGCAGCGAGAAAATGTCCGGAAGCCATCGCGGTTCGGAACAAATTCATGATTTTTGTTAAAATTCCGCAGCGAGAAAATGTCCAGCGACTCGGCGGTTACGGCCATGGAGACGACGGAGACGAGACAAGGATTGTACCATCCTTTTAAAAAGAGTATATAATAAGTGTTCTTCAACGTGTTCAACGTTCAGCTTCTTCAGCTTCTTCAACGTTCTCTGTTCGTCCTCCGCCGGTTCGTCTTTGGCCTCAGACATGGAGACGATACAATTTCTTTACAGTTTAGCATTGGCTGTTAAAATCTCCTTCTCTCAATTTCTTCCCTTGACCCTATTTCGTAAATTTTATATGTGTTCGTTTTGTTTCACGGCATTGGGCAATCTCAAATTTCTGGGTTGAAATTAGGGTTCTTCTGATTTCACTTTGATTTCTCTTTTTCAGTTTGGTTCAGTTTAATTTGTGAAAAAAGCTTGCTCTCTTCTTATCAATTGGATTTGGATGCAGACTAATTTGTTCTAGAAGTGGCTTGAAGTCCTGAGAACTTCCATTTTTTTTAAAGTAAAAAATGATTATTTTCAGTCTTGCTTAAGATTTTTGAATAATAGGAGTCATTTCATTTTCATTTTTGTGCAGCACCTTCACTTTCGAGAGTGTTCAGAGGTTGTTGGAGGAAGATATGAAATTAGAGAAATATGCTTTGGAGAACGTTTACTCATACCTATTGAATCGTTGTAGGTGAATTATCTCTTATCTGTCACAGGTTGTAGAAGACTTTGCTTTAGAAAATGTGGTTTATCTTGAATTACGAACAACTCCAAAGGTAAACACAAATCTTGCATGTTTGCAATTGCTCCAAGTTAGATTTGTCAACATTTTACAAATGAGATTTGTTTTTGTTTGTCCTTGTAGAGAAACGATTTGATAGTTATGAGTAAACGTTCTTACATGGAAACTGTAATCAAAGATCTGATTCTGAGATCTGTCAGTGAAGTGGATGTTGATTTTGTTAAGGAATTTAATTCTCAAAAACTACACAATGCGTGTGATTTAGTTGGAAGGAAGAAGATTTATGTTAGGCTTCTTCTTAGCATTGACCGTAGAGAAACAACAGAGTCTGCAATGGAAACTGTAAGTGTCTGAAAAATATGCAAAAGCTACTCGAGAACTTATAACACAAATATGATTAAAACATTATCCTTTCTTCTCTTTAAGGTTAAGCTTGCGTTGGAAATGAGAAATGAAGGTGTTGTTGTTGGTATTGATCTTTCTGGGAATCCTCTTGTTGGAGAATGGTAAATTTGTTTGTAAAATTCCTTACTTCATGTTCATCCTTTTGCTTCTGTTTTTATAAGTTGCTTCTGAGATCTTTCATGTTCATGGTCAAGTTGCTAACGTAAAACAATTACACAAACAGCAACATCCTAATTGCCTCAACATATCAGAGGAAATCTCTTTTGAACTGAAGAACGAAAAGTATGGTCGAGATTAAGTTTACATAATAAACTGTTTTATATTTTAAATTTACTCTAATCTAAATTTCTTTAATTTTTCAGAAATTGTCGTTTGGCATGTCACTTACCAAACGAACTTACCAAACGAGTATGCTACTGAGTTTTTTGAGAAGTGGAATCATTCTGATGTTAACATTATCATTTGCATCATAAGGTTTGCAAGAATCAGATACACACAAGGTAATATTTTATGATTTTCCATTATGTTTGTAGAACAGGTGGAAGTGAAACATTTTACTTTGTAGATGTCATTTAATCATAACACTTACATTTTGCATTCTTTTTGCAGAACAATGGGTGGCTTCTTCAGCTTATAAATGCACAGAGATCCTTATGAATCCTCATTTACCTGAAGTTGAGAACATGAGAGCCAAAATTATAGCAGCAGCTAATAATGAGAACGCTGATGAATGCATTGCCATCGATGATGATCCGGAATCCACCGATGATGAGTAACAAAAAGACCCACAAACTACTCGATATGATTAATATGGCTCCATAGGGCCAACTGTGTTTTAGTTATGTGGAATTTATTTTAATTTCTATATTTAAGCTTTTATTATACTATTGCTAAACTATGGCTTTGGTTATTCATTTCTGGGAATTAAATTACCTTGTTTACTTTTTTCTTTTCTATGGTTATTTTTAATCATTTCTACATCGAATTACCAGATGTAGTTTATAAAAAAACCTAAATATGAAAGAACTGAAAGTATTTAATCTACGATCATCTTGCAAAAGATGTAAAAAAAAAAATAACATCTTGCAAAAAACCAATAAGTCATGATAGTCGGATGTTTTGCAAATAACGGGATGTTAACGTTGTTAACACCAGCTGTTTTCGACATCTATTTTCACTTTAGCGAAATGAAGATGCTGTTTATTAAAAACTTCTATTCAAAGGCAACAAAATATTTCTAATACGTGAGACTTTTATATCTTTAGTGAAAAAAAATAACAATACGTGACCTACAAAACAAGATTTTGTACGTTAATTAATACAATTCTTTCATAATTTCTAAAATTTGATATGGAAAGAAGATTATTTATGGAGTAATGATTAGAATCTATGAGAATATAAAAATCATCCTTATTCAACTCAATATTATATTTCCATGCATAATTAACTCAATCATGTGTTATTTACGGTAACAGCTTTTATTGTAGAATTTTTTCTTACAATTTGACAATTATAGTATCAAAAATTGTTTATAAAACATTCTCTATAAGATTTTCAGTTTTCGTTATTTTTTAATATATGAGTTCAAGGTCAAGTAAATCCAATGAAGCGTAAAACTACATCAAATGTGGAGAATCTTAACGAAACCCCTCCTTTCAAAATGCAGCGTAAGTGTTCATTTCTTTTGTTAAGACTACCTTTATGATTGCCAAGTTGCTAAATCATAGTTCTGATTCACAGGTGGAACCGTGGAAGACCCAAGAAAAACCCTCACTTACAAAGATCTATTATTACACCACCACCTCTACAAAAGCGTGAGTTTCCTCTAACCAACTTCTTTTTTTTTCCTTATAATTAGAGAGTTTAACACCAATTTGATCCCAAATATATTAGAGGGATAGTTTAGTTTATTGTTCACTTAATTATTATTTTTGATTGCCTCCTTCGTTTTTGTTGTTATGTGACATATGCTGTGATTATCTACCAATATATATTTCAATGATGGAAAATGTAACATAAGTTCATACGAAAATTATGTTCTGTGTGTATATCTATACAGTATATCTACCCCTATCATATATCATATATTTCAAAGTCAAAGTTGAACTTAATTTTCAATACTTGGTGTGAAAATTTTGAGAACAGTTGAAAAATAATTGGTTTATTTAAGTAGAGGTGGACAAACGAAAAAATAATTTCGTATACGAAAATCAATTATTACAACACCAACACTACAAAAGTGTCAGATTTTTATTTCTTTTTAACTATTTTCTACCTATTCATTACTATGATTTATACAAATTTGTTTACAGGTGGTCCACAAGGGAAGGAAATTTTAACGTCTTTGATTGAAAATACATCAAATATTAGCACAGCTATGCAAGACACAAATACTCCATTATCAGACGTTACTAATTGTTTGGACAATGACTCTAATACTTCTAGACAAGAGAGAAGAAGGAAGATGGAAGCAAAGAAAAAATGCTTAACTAACACATCATCAGGTTTAATTTTTTATATATTTTTAAAACATTTATGTTGATTACACAAGTTATAAATATACATCTTGATTACATAAGAAAAGGGTTATTGCATGCATGCATCTTTCGACATAAAATACATTTTTAATTATAAGGCATTACCGGAGTGTAGGACGCATACAGTTTTTATAATATTAAAGTTTTAATTGCGATATTGATGTCAACATATTTTTATTATTATAATATAGTGCTGAAAACTAATAATTATCCACATGGTATTATATAATGGTGGATGAACATAAACATTGATAAATATAGATAAATTTGTTTTCGTTGTTGTTTTTGTTGAATTAAGATTTGTTTTGATTTACCAACCATATGGACAGTTGTGGATTTTGTAACCTACGTTTTATCTTTTTTTTTTTTTTATTTTTTTTACAGATTTCTCAAATTTGATTATAATATTGTGACAAAATAATTAGTTATAATTTGTTGATAACACTATTAACTTTTTTTGTAGTGATTCAGTCATATCTACGCCGATGATTCTCCAGTTTCCAGTGAGTTTTGATTTACTTTCTCAATGATACAGTTTCTATACTAGCTAGGGACTAGGGTTTGCCTTTTCTTTTCTTTTTTTATGATTCTCGGGCTGATTAATGACTATATTATTATTTATAAGTTTGTTTTACTGAGTAGTTGTGTGACTTGTGTCCTGCGGAATTATTCGGGAATATGAATGTTCCATTTGGAGAAAGATAGCAAACAAAATAACATGTAATTTAGCTAATAGTATAAAAATGGGATAAAAACTGGTACATAGTTAGGTGATGCCTACTTCGTATTGCTTGAAGGTGGAAACAAAGGAAGGGACCAGTTGTCAGTCCCAAACTACTAGTCTATTTGTTTGAGGTGGGATATAGTATGGGGTCGGGATTGTAAGAGGACGACTTATGATCGAGCTGGATCTATCCAGCAAGACACCTCCAATTTCGTCGACATCCAAGTATGTGACCTCGTTAGGGACCAGGCCAGGGAAGGAGCTCGCAAGAACACAGAAAGGTTCAGATTTGGAGAGGTAAATGACGAGATCGCCAATGTCACGAGTGTAAACCGCGTTTCCCTGTTCATCGATCTTGAACACCATCAAAGCTTTCGTTTTCATTTTCAACAGACCCGGGCCGGTCTTCCTGTACCACTTAACCATGAAAGTTTCGCGCGTGGTTCTTGACTCCACCAAGTGCTCGCTCGTGAAACACGAATGCAGAAGCTCCCGCTTGGTCTTGCTCAGCTCGGGAAGGTTTTGAAACCGCAACCTCTGAATCTTGTGTTTGTGTTTTTTGCTGATGTCCCATGATCCAATCAGGTGTCCTCCACATCCGGGGATGCGAAACATCCCATCTCCCTCGGAGAACATGACCCGGGAGGAGAAGAAACATGGGTTCTCGATTCTGATGTTGGTCCACTCGGATGAAGCTGCTGGTCTGCAAAAGCTGAGTTGAGGTCCCAAGAACTTGGCAGCCACAACACACTCCTCGTCATTCTCTGGAGAAGACGAGGACATTGACACGTTTGTGACTATTCGGGTTTGGCAATGTGGCAGAGTCACAAGAGGTGGCAGTGGGATGCGTTTCGGATCTGTGTCGGATGCAACAGGGTTTAGAACGTCTTGGAGACGGAGGATTCCGTCTTCCTTGAGACTAGCTATCCAGCCATGAGATGCTCCGATCGTTACCATTGTATCATCTTTATGCACCAATTCCAGAGGCACCTTCTTTTCCAAACAAATGGAACTTTGTCCATTATGATTGTAAATCTCGAGTCTTCCCATCTCCTCTCCACAACGTTTAGCGCCTATGATGAGACAAGGAGCAGTCCATGTTGAGAAGCCACTGGAGAAAAAAAGAAGAAGAAGAGAGGATTTTCTTGGTTTTCCAAGGCGGAGCCGGCTGAGAAGAAGAGACATGAGTAGGAATGATGTTTCTTCTTAATCAAAAAATAAAACCCTAATCCAATATTAATAGAGAGGAATGGACTTGCCCACCACCAACTAGGGTTTTCCTATCTCTTTCCAAAAACGTGAAGTCCCACTAATTTCCCAAATGTATATACTTGGTCGGCAAGACACAATCGTGCCAATCAAAATAGCTGCTGCTTATTCAAACCACTCCCCATCGCGTAAACCGAACCGAATCGTTTGTTGTTCAATTTGGTTTTAATCCCTTTGTATGTACGTTATCCTCTATTTATGAAAAATACTGATTTGTTTTAATTTAATTAGTTAATATGTTTAGTTTGAACAATTTTAATGTGACATAGATATTATGATGCGTAATGATGATGTAATTGTAACATATCAATTTTTAGTACACGTGGCTTGTGACGTGACATTATTTTAAATTTGATATTAAAATTTTGATACAAAATTAGAGTATTAGAAAAATTATATTTTTGTCAAATAAATTTGAAATTACATTTCGACACAAAAATTTTGCCAAGGAAATTTACGGATTTCAAGTATTTAGCGGAAAATTTGAGATAACCTATTTAGCCAGAAGTTTTTGATATCACATTTTTGACATAAAATTTATAGATTCATAATATTTAGCAAAAACTCACGAAATC